GGTCGCCAGCCGGCATTGTCTGGCCGACGGCACCCTAAGGAGGCCCTCTCTGTGGGAGCGGACTGGTCGAAGGGAGGTGTTTGGTAGGAGGCGGTCTTGCAAATACCTAGGTCCATTGCCACGGAGCGCTTTAAAGGTTGTTACTAACACCTTGAAGTGCACCCGGAAGGCCACAGGCAGCCAGTGCAGCTCGCGCAGGAGAGGTGTTACATGGGAGCATCTAGAAGCCCCCAGGATCCCCCGCGCGGCCGCATTCTGAACTAGCTGGAGCCTCCAGGTGCACCTCAAGGGGAGCCCCATGTAGAGAGCGTTGCAATAGTCCAGGCGAGAAACAACGAGGGCTTGAGTGACCGTGCGTAGAGTAGCTGGTAATTTGTATTACCAAATTTGTATGGTAATTTGTATTACCATAGAGACCATATTACCATAGAGACCATATCTGTTCCATCATTTCTTACATGTAGTACTCAAAGCTTCCTGAATATTCTACAAAACAATCCCCAATATCCAGTTAACAAACTGCTGCTAACAATATGAAAACTTCGTTTAAAAAGAGAATACCTTGGTAAGCACAGCTGTATGTTCATCTCCACAGCTAACATATGTCACTTCAAGATTTCTCAGGGCTCCTATTGAGTAGGGTTTGAAGATCTGTTCTGTTGAAACAAAAACCACACCAGAATATTGTAACATTTTACATGAATATTCCAAGAACTATCCCAAAGTTTATTAAAATACGCCATTATTTATTAAGCTACTGTGACTAAAATCACGAGTGTAACAGAAATTGAATTAAAGTAGTCACAGCAAGCTTTGAAAAGCCACTTTAGATGTTTCCAAAATGTTTCCAAAATCTTCAAACTGTCACTGTCTTTGACAGTGAGGGACAAAGAACCTGGCTTGAGAAGCAGCTGTTTGTCTACACCAGGAGCGGGCAACAATGGAAACTTTATGAACTGTGAATTTCAACTCCCAGAATTCCTGAGCCAGCCTGGCTGACAAGGGAACAAACACATGTTCAAGCCATCACTACCATTTTTTGTGCTCACATTCTACTTTGAACCCATCATTCAAACTCATAACAATTTTAAAATAATAACCTTCATTAATTATTTAATAATTAATAATTATGCCAGTTATATATTTTAGATATTTTAATGATATTATTTTAAAAATTGGATATGATAAACGTAACCCACTTCTATCCTGTGCCAGACATTTTTTTTCTAAACAAAAATATATGCTTAAGGGATCAATCAAAGTCAGCCTGACTTATTAGATCATCTAGGGAGAAACTACCTCTCTTAGGATTAAGTCCTATGCCAAAGAGGACCTATCCTATACCAATCACCTAAAAGAATCAAATCAGGTCATCCAAAGTATCAACTGATTGGCTTACAAGTCTACCCCTAGAAGCTAACTCACACCCTACCCCAAATCCTCTTTTGTTGAAATTTAATTCCCAAAAGTTAGTAAAAAGACTTCATGATATTGCAGAGTCTTAAGCAGTCCCTTTGTAAGTTCCCCAAAGTTAAGATCTCCAATTTGTTAATAATAATAATAATAATAATAATAATAATAATAATAATAATAATAATAATAATAATAATAATAGTAATAAAGTTGGAAGGGATCTTGGAGGTCATCCAGTCCAACCCCCTGCTCAGGCAGGAAACCCTATACCAGGGGTGTCAAACTGCCAGCCCGTGGGCTGGATGCATCACGAGGAAACCGCACCCACTCTATTGCCGGCAATGGGGGAAAAGCTCCAATACGTCACGCGACATCACGTGACGTTGTGAGTTTGACATGTCTGCCCTATACCATTACAGACAAATGGTTGTCTAGTCTCTTCTTAAAAACTTCCAGTGTTGGAGCATTCACCGCTTTTGGAGGCAGGTTGTTCCACTGATTAATTGTTCTCACTGTCAGGAAGTTTCTCCTTAGTTCTAGGCTGCTTCTCTCTTTGGTTAGTTTCCATCCGTTGCTTCTTGTCCTGCCTTCAGGCGCTTTGGAGAATAGTTTGACTCCCTCATCTTTATATTTCTGAGTCTTATTTTAAAACTCAGGTTTTATCCCAAAGGTGCTTTTTCAAGAGGCAACTGGACTGTCTTTGTTTTTCCTTGAAGATGTTTCGCTTCTCATCCAAGCTTTTTCAGTTCTGTTCTGCAGAACTAAAGAGGCTTCTTGGATGAAAAGTGAAGTGTCTTCAAGGAAAAGCAAAGAAAGTCCAGTTGCCTCTTGAAAAAGCACTTTGGGACAACCATGACCTGGATGACTGAGAATCTCCATAGACTCAGGTTTTATTTTAAGTGAATCACCATTTCTAACTCATCACTGCTGATTTTCAGTCAGTCTATCAATACTTTAATACATTATTCTAAAAGCTTTAATTTTAAATTTTTATTTTTTGCCCAGCTTGGTGGAAACCAGTTTTATCCAGATGCAAGTCTACAGGGGATCTGTCTTTTCCTGCTCTTAAGGATATAAGGGAAAGCTCTTTTATGACTTGTGGACTTCAACTCCCAGAATTCCTGAGCCAGCACAAGTCATAAAAGAGCCAAGGTTGCCTACCCCTGATCTAGAACAAGGGATTTCTTCATCTATATAGATGCAACCTTTAGGTTTGAATCCTTTTGTTTATAAGCTGAGATTATGATCATAATAAAAAAGAGTAAATTTCTCTATCTCTTAAATTAAGATCCAGCATTAGGCAACCTTCAAAGACTTGGCAGAAATCCTGGTTGCCTTTCTGGAAACACCAATCAGGCCAGGTTTTTTTTTTATATTTTATTAAATGAACCACAAGTGGCCAACAACTGCAACATACTAAGACAAACACCATGTTTACAATCCACAATGGCTGGGATATCAAAACATTTAAATCAAACCAAACATACTTTGGCTTAATATGTTTTAATAATGCTGATGTCAACGCTGCTAACATTGGATGTTTTTGCTTTGACAACATATGGAGATGCAACCATTTTCCTTCTTATATTTTACTCTTAGAATTGGAGTTAGAATTAGATGATACTGGCGGGGAGGAGGAGGAATGTGCATGGGAGTTTAGTTAGACATAACAATACTGTAACTAGTGTGAGAACCAAGGTTTTTGAAATAAGAGATGATAAGAATTGGCGGGTTGGAGAACTGGAGGGAAAGTCTGCATTTCAAACTAATTGGAGAATGTGATTTATGACTGTAAATTAGAGGAGGGAATTGTGCTTTGATACTATGTACTCAGGGGAGGCGAATTCAGATTTTGGCTTTGGCTATGTAAGTGCTGATGCTATGCTTCTCGAATAAAGATTCTTTATGGTAAACAATGCCTCGAAGTTCGGAACCATGACAGCTGATAACTGCAGATATCAGACAGGTGAGGGAAGTATTTTACTCTAAAGACATGAAACCCACTTTTACTTATTCACTGTATATAACATGTACTTTGCAGGATGAAAGCCTGATGTGATTTCTGTTTGATAGAACAAAATAAAGACATTTATTAAATGATTTACTGTTATTTTATTGTACATGATCATTGGATTCTTGATATTCCAAAAATTATTTTTTTCTCTTCAATAAAAGAGAAATAAAAGATATATTAATGAATGATTTTATTCGGATCAATTTGATTATAATATTATATATAGATAGAGAGGGAAATTTTAAGAAATATTGTGTGAACTGTATATTTATAATGCTATTGTTTTCTTTTTGTAATTGATCACCATATCTCCACGTTGGCTCTTAAGCTTCTGTTGGTGCAAAATGGAAAACTAATAAAAATTGTTTAATAAAAAAAAGAGAAATAAAAGGAAGTAAACAAGCAGCATGGACACTCTTTCTTGGGATACATTGAAGACAGACTTACCTTTTGAAGTTCTCTGATTTAAACCCAACTGATGTGCATTGTTCCTTCCCCAGCCATAGACTACTCCAGAATGAGACAAGACAAAGCTGTGTCCCCCACCAGCAGCCACCTGGGCCACAGGGATGCCAGCAAGAGAGGAAATGTTACATGGAGTAGCTTGGGAAGGAAGTCCTTTGCCAAGACCCAGTTGACCATGGATGTTCTGTCCCCATGAAAAAACTCGACCATCTTCATTGGGAAAAAAAGAAGAAGAAAAAACCACCATTACATTCATTAGAATATGAATTGGCAACTTGTTCCAGTAGACAAAGATCTACCGGCCCCTCAACTTTTAACATAACAAACATCTTGCAAGTTTACCAGATCTCATGGATTATCAATTACCACACCCTCAAAATTGTATTTGCTCTCTCCTGAAATCTTGTAGATTCATGGAATGATTTTTGGTGGAATATCACAAAAACCATTCGGAGTTGCCATGGATGCTTTTATGCCCACAAGCTTGGCACTGCCATTTATTCTAAGTCAGGGGTCTTCAAACTTGGCCCTTTTATGACTTGTGGACTTCAACTCCCAGAATTCCTCAGCCAGTGTGCCTGGCTGAGGAATTCTGGGAGTTGAAGTCCACAAGTCATAAAAGGGCCAAGTTTAAAGACCCTTGTTCTAAGTAGAAGGACAGCTGTACAGCTTTCTATTTTGTGGAAATATCTTCCATGTCTGATTATCTTCTCTAAATGGTTGGGGCAATAGAGTTTAGAGTTTCACTTGAGCTTTTTCACACGACAACTACCAAGCTAGTAAATGTCAACATGTGCATAGATCTGCATTCTCCTTGCCTGCATACAGGTAATCCTTGACTTACAACAGTTTGTTTAGTGACCGTTTGAAGTTACAATGGCACTGAAAAAATAACTTGTGTCTGTTTTGCACTTACAACCACTGCAGCATCCCCATGGTCATGTGATCAAAATTCAGATGCTTGGCAACTGACTCATACTTATGACAGTTGCCATGTGATCCCCTTTTGTGACCTTCTGATAAGCAAGTCAGTAGGGAAGCCAGATTCACTTTACAACCATGTTAGTAACTTAATTATTGCAGTGATTCACTTAACAAATGTGACAAGAGGGTCATAAAATGGGGCAAAACTCATTTAACAAGTGTCTCACTTAATAACAGAAATTTTGGGCTCAATTGTGGTCGTAAGTCGAGGACTCCCTGTATTTCAGGTTGACATCTTGCAATTATTTATTGTAGTTTATAACTTTGGATCTGATCCTGCAGCTACTCAGAAAAGAGCTTTGGGCTGTACACCACAGTTCACTAATGCATGTTTTTTGAGAAATCATCATAGTTTCATCCTTAGTGAAGATAATAGAAAAAAATGGTCAGTTAATGGGAATGGTTTCAAAGAATAGCATAAAATCAGCAGGAAGACGTAAAGGAATTTACCAATAGTTATTTAATTGCATTGATGTAGATAATCCTTCTTGGGAATTATCTGTTTGCATCAGACTTTGCCTTCTAAATTCTGTATCAAAGCAGATTTACAGTAATCTTTGACAAATCTAGTCTCTACCTAGGAAAATCTTAAACTATGAAGGAGCATGTGTGTAGATGCACGTAATAAAGATATTAAGAGAAAAATGAGCTCCTTGCCCCCAATCAAAATTAAGCAAGAAAAAAGCAAAACTTCTTGCAAAAATAATAATAATAAAATCTTACCTTTAGTTAGTGCTATGGAGTGATACTGTCCACAAGCAATTTGTATAACATTGTACATAGATAATGAATCTATTTTCCTACAGAATTTATCCAACAAAAAGAGAAATAATTCATTAGCATTCAGGATATCATCATATAAAGATTCTTGGCATGGATATTACCATTTTTAATGGCTTTGTCAATTAATTAAATAATAGTATAAGCATTACAAAAAATTATCAAATGACATTTTAATCAATAGTAATGATTTCAAATCTTAATTACATTAGATACATGCTAATTTGAGAAAAATATTGTAATTGAAGACTTTTTGGAGTTATCCATTAATCCATTAAATCATTTCTTTCTTTAGTTGCTATTTTAGGATGATTTTGTGCCACACTGATGCTGTTTGATTAGCTGGACTGTAACTCCCATCATCCTTGGCAGGGTCTAAAGGGAGTTATAAATCAAAATATTTGAGGGGACTAGGTTAGGGGAAACTAAGCTTTATTTTAAAAATAGAACAAATAATAAGATAGGAGACTGATGAAGTAAACTGTGCATCATGAAAGTATATGTAAGAATAAATTGGTTACCCTTTAAGGCAGTGGTTCTCAACCTGTGGGTCGGGACCCCATTTGGGGTCGATCGACCATTTCACGGGGGTTGCCAAGCAAGACTGTCTGCCATTTTTTTTTGTCCGCCATTTTTTTCCCCCTTTTCCGGCGAGTGCCTTACCTCCCTTGGGCTGGGCCAGCTGGTGGTCAGCCTGCTCCGTCTCTGCCGCTTGCCAGCTACCCCTTGACCAGCGCAGGGGGCGGAACCACGCATGCGCGGCGCTCCCGGGCAGGGAAAGTCGACTTACGACTGGTTGGGTAGTCCTCGACTTACGACCGGTTTAGTCCTCGACTTACGACCGGTTTAGTCCTCGACTTACGACCGGTTGGGGTTGCGGCATTAAAAAGGTTGAGAACCACTGCTTTAAGGTATTCATTCATTCATTCATTCATTCGTCAAAGGCTAACATGAATAGGAGCTGTGGTGGTGCAGTGGTTAGAATGCAGTATTGCAGGCTAATTCACTGCTCATTGTCAGGAGTTCGATCCTGACTGCCTCAAGGTTGACTCAGCCTTCCATCCTTCCGAGGTTGTTAAAATGAGGACCCAGATTGTTGGGAGCAATATGCTGATGTTGTAAACTGCCCAGAGAGTGCTGTAAAGCACTAGGGGACAGTATAAGTCTAAGTGCTATTGCAATATCGCTAGTGCTATTTTGCAAGGCTTCCTCAACTGTCTAAAGAAGCAGCACCTACACCAGAAAGCCTCCCATTCCAGCTATGGGAGGGATGTAGACCTGTTGCAAACCTCTATGAAAAGGAACGTGCAGAAGGTCACAGATTCATTCCCTAACATCTCCCTCTTGGGTTTGGAAAGCTACACCTTTATCCCAAGTGATAAATGCAGCATGGAACACATCTAGAAGAATGTCCCAAGTATACAATTAAATCAGGATTCAAAACTGTGTTTTCTTGACTAAAGGACTCCTATACCCCAGACAAGCTTACTTGACAAAAACGTGAATCAGTTACTTACTTTGGAATCAAAGAGTCCTCTAGTATCCCAGTGCCAAGTTGTCCAAAAGCACCAGCTCCCCATGAAAATACCCTCCCTTGGTTGCTGATAGCCAATGAGTGCTCCTTTCCACAGCTTATGTAGATGATCGTCTGGGTTTCCAAGGCTTGGATTGGTTCTTTCCAGGAGAAAAAAGGACATTCATTTGCATGGTTATTAGAAGGATCCTAGGGTCAAGGAAAGACCAAATGCTGACCCTCACCCTGTTTCTCTGGTCTTCCCACTTTCTCTCCAGGGTAATGCAGGACACAGCCCAACATATTCCATATCCCTTGAGCCTGCTCTTATTTAGTCTCAAAAAGGCTAGACAACATGACTTTCACATTGATGTAGCTAAGGATGAATTTATCCTGGGTTACCCACAGGCTGGGAATGAGATGAGGGGGCATGACAGAATAGAAGTGCTGACAGAAAAGTGCAAATGCTGACTTCCATGGTCCACGTAGGTGTCCATTCTCATTGCTTTCCTCTTTTCTGCTGAAGAGATGTGGTTGCGCAGTAGTTAGCCATTTCCCCCCACTTTATAGACCCTGCTGTCCAAGCAGAGCAGAGTCTGTTTCTCTCTTCTTTGGGTGTCTTCCATTTGTCCAGGGCATGATGACTCAGCCCTTAAAGTTGCTGAGCTTGTCAACTGCAAAGCTGACAACCCCGGTTCAAGACCCGACACTGATACCCCAGGACACCACAATCCTCATAAATACACGCCAATAGCCAAGTGCCTGAATTTTGATCACATGACCATGAGGACACTGGTGGTGCCTTGGAGCAGGCATGTCAAACTGCCAGCCTATGGGCCGGATGCGCCAGGCCGAAACTGCGCCCACCCCATTGCAGGCAATGGGGGGAAAGTCCCGATACATCGCACGACGTCATGTGACGTTGCGAGTTTGACATGCCTGCCTTGGAGCAGGCAGGCATGTCTCCATCCATGCATCCAAGATCCATCCATGCACTCAGCCATTTTGTCAGCTCTCCCAGAACTGCATGCTGTTGCTGGTTCTGCTCATCAATAAACAAGAACCTTCTTTCCTGAGCAGCCTCCGTTTTATTTCCAGCATCTTAGCCTCCATTTTATTTCCAGCGTCTTACTCCAGGCTTTGAACTAGACATGTTTTTTACCCCCCACTTCCTTTACATGAGAAATAAGAAACAGGTCCTTCTGCCCGAACGACAGTGCATTCAAAGTGTGCCCTCTATAACACTCTGCCCCCAAAGAAATACTACTTGGTACATTCAATCTATCCTATACCCCTATGATTTAATTCAGGGCTCTATAAAAGAAGCGGGACAAAAGACTGCTTCTACAGAGGCCTTTTTACAGCTAGTTTAAGAAAAGGGGCGAGAGACGGGCAAAAAGGAAATTGCTCACTTTTTCCTGTCTTTTCTTTTCTTATAGAGCTAAAAAGGGCAAAAGAGAGAAATCCCTAATCGGAAAGAAAAAAACAACAACACCGCTGGCTATATTATCCATACCGGCCATTTATGGAAATGGAATTACAACAGAATTTAAACGGGGCATTTAAGAGTAAGGAGCGGGAGAAGGGACCACTTCAATTTGCGGACAGCGAGCGCCCACGGTTTCATTTATTGCCACGAGAAATGTTCTTTGGAAGATCCGGGATCCATAGCGTTCGCCTTTATCCAGGTAAATCAGGTCATTCTCAGGACACAGTAGCTGCAAAGTAGGGTTGCCAGGTGTCCACTATTTGAGTGGACAGTCCACTTTTTTCACATTATGTTCACTATTTTTTTCCCCACAAAATAGTGGACATTTTTTTTATTCAAAAGCTTTATGATGAAATGGTATGTAATCTAAAGCTATGCAGTCTACTTTTTTTACTACTTAACACCCTCCCCCCCCCCCCGCTTGTCCGCTATTTTTTGGAAGCAGACCTGGCAACCCTACTGCAAAGTGTCCATTGCGGAGGGAAGGTGCTGTTTGATAGGGGGGGGGGGAAACCCTCCCCTACTGGAATCCCCAACTTGGACGGGAGCCCCACCCACGCAGCGCAAACGGGGAAATCGAAAGCGATCGCGGAGAGATTCGTTTTCAGAAGCGCTACTCGAGAAAACGAAAGCGAAACTAAACGATGGGAACCGAGTGGTTACCGATCCCTTGTTGGCCCAGCGAGCTGGTTGGGCGTTGAGTGGGCGGTGGGTTCCACCAACCGCGACCTAACAAGCCACACCTGGGCTGGAAGGGCCAACCTGGGCAAAATGTAGGGAAGAAGGCCGCTCGGAGAGGGCCGGCTGGGCCCCGCTCTTACCTGGCAGGTAGCACCGCCGCCGTCCGGCGGAGAGGGTCTTCCCCAGCTGGCCCTGGGCGTTGTCCCCGCAAGAAGCCAGGGTCCCGTCGGCTTGGAGCAGCAACGTGTGCCGCTCCCCGCAAGCCACCAGGACTACTTCTTGTACACCAACCGCTGGCGGACCGCGACGGAGAGGGACCGGCTGGGAGGCCCCTTCCTCGCCCAAGCCCAGCTGCCCGTAGGAGCCGTCCCCCCAACAGAAGAGCATGGCGCGTTTTGGTCCTTGGTCTCTGGCTCCTTCCATCCAAGATTTCTCCCAGCGGGGAAGAAAAAAAAAAATCGGGGTGGAGCTCAGTCTTCCTCCCTCTCTGGGTATCACCTCGAGGCGGCTCACTTTTGATGGACAGGTGTCTATCAGAGCCCTGCCCACTTGCTCCGATCCCTTCGCGGTCCTGCTGGATTCGTTGAAAACTCAGGAAGGCAAACTTCCTCTGATTCAGGCCGGGGTCTCCTAAGAGAGATCTGGGCAGCTGCTTCTGAAAAGATGCTGGCTGGTGCAGGTGTATTAAAAATAGAAGAGGGAAGTTGCTCAACTGTGGCTAGGAAGTTTTTTTCCGCCTGGCTTTCTAAGGACGGTGCTCAGACGGGATGTTACCCTGGCTTCTTCCTGGTGGCACTTGATAAGGCAAGCTCTCTCGTTGTTGATCTTACACTGCTGTGCTGGAGCTGGGTCTCATTGTCTGGTTATAATGGCAAGTGGGAATCAGCTTGGGTAACTGGTCCTGAGGGACCACCGTAAGATAAGAGACAGCAGAGTGGGTGCGGCAAGAGGTTCAGAAGAGACCCTAATTCAGTGGTGGTGAAGCTATGGCACGGGTGCCAGAGGCGGCACTCAGAGCCCTCTCTGTGGGCACGCGTGCTGCCGCCCTAGTGCTAGGCCTTCAGCTGGGTTTTATAAAACCTTTTCGCTTTAGGCCTCCACCGCCGTGTGCAAAAAAAAAGGTTCAATCAATCAGTCAATTTCAACTTCTAGCGGAAAAAAAAAGATCTTGCAAAGTTGGAATTGATTGATTGAACTTTTAGTCCCACCCAGTCTGCCGTTACCACCGCAGCCATGCCCACCCAATGGGCCACACCCACCCGGCACCCGACGATGCATAAGTGGGTTTTGGGGTTGCAGTTTGGGCACTCGGTCTCTAAAAGGTTCGCCATCACTGCCCTAATTTCTCAGGCTGTAAAAGAGATGGTGGGGAAATTGTGCTTTCAGACATGCATGTTTCTCTTAATGTAGAATAAAATGAACATGTAACATCTGAAGAATGGTTGCAGGATTTGGGTATGTCTAGTGAAAAGAAGGACGAGGGGTGACATGATAGCAGTGTTCCAATATCTGAGGGGCTGCTACAAATACGAGGGGGTCAGCTTATTTTCCAAAGCATCTGAAGGCAGGACAAGAAACAGTGGATGGAAATTAATCAAGGAGAGAAGCAACCTGGAACTAAGGAGAAATTTCATGACATAATTAATTAATCGATGGAATAATTAATCAGTGGAATGGCTTGCCTTCAGGAGTTGTGGGTATTCCATCACTGGAGGATTTTAAGAAAAGATTGGACAACCATTTGTCCAGAATGACATAGGGCAGGGGTAGGCAATCTTGGCTCTTTTATGACTCGACTTCAACTTGAAGAAAGCATGGTTGGCTCAGGAATTCTGGGAGTTGAAGTCCACGAGTCATAAAAGAGCCAAGGTTGCCTACCCCTGGCGTAGGGTCTCCTGCTTGTGCAGGGGGTTGGACTAGAAAAGCTCTAAGGTTCCTTCCAACTCTGTTATTCTGTTACATTCTACTTACAATAAATTAGCTCCTCTGATTGTGTTTGTCTAGTAGTACACCTGGTAAGGCTGATGCTTGTCCAGAACTCAAGGTGGAAAAGAGTCTTGACTCCTGGAGAAATATGTGGGGTGTGGACTAGATGATAGGTCTCACCATAGAATTATGAATGGACTCAACCCTCTTTTGTGTTCCTCAAGCCAACAAAATCAGGATTATTCCAATACGCTTAAGCCCTGATAAATTGTAGCCACCTAACTTAGGATATTTGATTATATTTGTTTTATATTTTGTTTTTTCCAATGTACAGGAAGTCCTCGATTCATTTAGTGACCATTTGAAGTTACAAGCAGCACTGCAAAAAGTGACTTATGACCATTTTTCACATTTGCCACCGTTGCAGCATCGCTCTGGATGCGTGGCAACTGACTCACAGTGTCCCAGAGTCATGTGATCACTTTTGCAACCTTCGGCAAAGTCAGTGGGGAACCGGTTTCACTTAACAACTGTGTTACTAATTAACAACTGTAGTGATTCACTTAACAAATGTGGCAAGAAAAGTCATAAAATGGGGCACAACTCACTTAACAAATGTCTCACTTAGCAACAGAAATTTTGATTGTAGGTTGAGGATTACCTATATGTGATTTTTGCTTTGTTCTTTGCAACACAAGGAGTTGGGGTGGGCTACCAATATTGTTAAATAAAAACTTGAGCTCCACTTTATAAAATGAAGTACTAGATTGCTCCCATAGAGGGCAGTGTACATCAAAAATATTTACTCAGAATTAAGCGCTCTCTGATTAGCACAAAATCATATTTATTTGAATGATGATTTAAGAGAGGATGTAGCTGAGGTGACAGACAAGCACAGAGAGTAGAAGTTTGAATTGGGTTTCTCTGGGGAGGCCTTTGGCCCAGAAAGCAGGTAAAGGAAATGCTTACTGATTTTGTGTAATTTAAGTTTTAGGAAGAAGGACAAAAAAAAAATATGGAGCTCCTTTGTAAAGTTATAATAGTAATAAAGCACATCACTATTTTATTTTATTTATTAACAAATCTCTATTTTTACATGAATATATAGTAATGTGTGATACTTCCTGTAATTTTAATTCACAGGGTGAACTTAGACTCAAAATGCTCTTTTGGCTGAAACTCCAGCAACAGGTTTAGCCAATCTGTTGAGTTCAGTACTATAAATGTTCAAATAAACTTATGCTCAGATTGTCATCTTTATATAATAAGATCACAGGATGTCAATATTTACATTTCACAGCAAGAATCTGAGAATGAGAGATATAAAGCGAATAGTAAATCTATGTCATTGAAATCCAGTAAAATCGACAACAATTCAGTATCTACAAATATTTGAACAGAAAATTTGTCCAGCAGTGTTTTAAACACCAAAACTTTAAAAAGTGGCATTTTAAAAGAAAATCCATTATACACACATGTAACGATATTCAATTATATTAACTCATATAATTTATATACTAAGACTAATTCAGTGTTGTCTATGTTGTCACTAAGTCAACAGTGTCTTTATGGCATATAATCAAGAGCTTTTGTTATTTTACTGTGCTTAATTCTTTGTATGTTACATGCTTCTTGGTATTAGAGATGGACTTGGCAAAATGATGTCCATCAATTCATGAAGAGTCGGAAGTAAATGAATGAAAGAACAATAATTAGGTACTGCAAAGATCAAGTTTAGAACACCTACCAAGAACTGTGAATGAACATAGAATGTGGCTTTTTTTAATGTATTCTAAAGCCCAGCATCCAAAAATTGCACTACATTGGATACCTCCTGGAGGAAAGAGGAAGCAAGGCTGACTTCGGAAAACCTGGCGCCAAACACTTACGAAAGATAGCAATAGTACTTAGACTTAGATACCACTTCACAGTGCTTTACAGCTGTCTCTAAGTGGTTTACAGAGTCAGTATATTGTTCCCAACAATCTGGGTCCTCGTTTTACCAACCTTGGAAGGATGGAAGGCTGAGTCAACTTTAAGCCGATGAGGATCAAACTGCTGGCAGTCGGCAGAATTAGCCTGCAATACTGCATTTTAACCATTGCACCACCACAGCTCTAATGATGACATAATGTATAATATCTGAATATATTGTTATTGCCCAGTATATATTTTTAGATCTTATGTGGTACTTGTTATATGTTGTGCCGGCTGGGATTAAGGTACATAGAGAGCAATGACCTCATATTACCCAAGCAAAACAGTTACTTGAATTATCTTGAGTTTGATTTCTGTGAATGGAGAAAGATGAGATTTAGCAGAAGAGCATATGATTATTACAAAAATGTATGTTCCTTTTAGATTAGCATCAGTTGCTTTCTTATCAGTTGCTGCAAGCAAACACGAACATTTCACATAAGCAGAAGTGTTAAAAGGTACCTCAACCCACTTAATTTGTAAGAAAACCACCTTGTAGTACTGCCCTTGAGGAAATGTGAAAGCATAATTTTATTTGGAAAGCAAGGTAGAGTTTAGGGTGTAACGGGGTGTAGCCACAATCATTTAAACCAAATAATCATACAAAACAGATGCAATTTATTTAACTGATTTCTCCTACAGCTACAACGTGTAATTTATTTCCATAGAAGAGTAAATTTGTTGTTTTTAATGCATATCTGCCTAGAAACTGTCAATTCCCCCTCCAAATACTATATCTGTACTTAAGTCATTTATGGAAGAATTCTTAAGATTGTTGTAATTTTATTTTATCCTACCCTGAAATTTTAATATGATACGTGTATCTACATGCATACTGTATATTAATATGCATTCAAACCCAGATAAAACTGTAAAAATTAACTGTGTTTGGAAGCTCAGAAAGGAGCAACACAAAGAGAAACATTTATTTATCTATTCAAAAAAAACCCTGAGCTGTTATGATCAGGCATATTTACATGATACATGGATCCAGGTTCAAGAATAGGAGAATTAAACATGAAAGTGACATCCAATATTGTGGCTAATAATAATAATAATAATAATAATAATAATAATAATAATAATAATAATAATAATAATAATAATAATAATAATAATAATAATAAAAAAAAGTTGGAAGGGATCTTGGAGGTCATCGAGTCCAATCCCCTGCTCAGGCAGGAAACCCTATACCATTTTGGACAAATGGCTGTCCAGTCTCTTCTTAAAAACTTCCAGTGTTGGAGCATTCACCGCTTCTGGAGGCAGGTTGTTCCATTGGTTAATTGTTCTAACTTTCAGGAAGTTTCTCCTTAGTTCTAAGTTGCTTCTCTCCTTGATTAGTTTCCACCCATTGCTTCTCGTCCTGCCTTCAGGCGCCTTGGAGAAGAGCTTGACTCCCTCTTCTTTGTGGCAGCCCCTGAGATATTGGAACACTGGTATCATGTCCCCCCTCGTCCTTCTCTTCGTTAAACTAGACATACCCAATTCCAGCAACCGTTCCTTATATGTTTTAGCCT